ACTTTCCTCGAGCGGGCACGCGCGAAACGCACTTGTTTCACGCCGAATTGGACTTTACCTTGTTGTTTATCGAGCGGAAATTCGCTGGCCCTACAGAAGTTGGCACCTGGGGGAATGACCAACTAAAAGAGAATCCTGGGCCCCTGCCCTTTCCGGGAACATGATCGACCCACGAACCCGGAAAGGAATATAGAAATGTAAGACATGGCAACGTTTCAAAGACACCTGGTTTGGCGACGGTGAGTGTATCGATCTTGATGTACCGTGCCGAGAGCTGTGCTGTACTGCGCCGTGCTGAATTGCGATGTGCCATGCCGCGATTGTGCTCTATAGCGTTGTGGATCGAGTCCTCCTTTGCATCCGAGTCCTGACCGATCTGATCTGGGTCGTAAGCTCGAGCTGCCTGAGCACATAGTAGTTGTCCCAGAGCTGATTGGCAAGGAGACATGCTAGGAAGACGCGCCGCGGAACGTCCCGAGGGACGCGCCAGGCGACGTGCCAGGGGACGTGCCATGGGGACGCACCGCTGGACGTGCCAAGGGAACGCGCTACGGAACGTGCCAATGGACGTGCCACGGGACGTGCCAGGAAACGCGCCGCGCGACGTGCCAGGGGGACTCGCCACGTGCCAGGGAACGTGACAAATTGCATTGCTGAGTGTATCGATCTTGATGTACCGTGCCGAAGGCTGTGCTGTGCTGCGCCGTGCTGAACTGCGATGTGCCATGCCGCGACTGTGCTCTATAGCGTTGTGGATCGAGTCCTCCTCTGCGTCCGAGTCCTGACCGAACTGATCTGGACCTTAAGCTCGAGCTGCCTGAGCACAGAGCAGCTGCCCCAGAGCTAATTGACAAGGGAACATGCCAGGAGGACGCGCCGCGGACCGTCCCAAGGGACGCGCCAGGCGACGTCCCAAGGAACGTGCCATGGGAACGCACTGCGGGATGTGCCAAGGGGACGCGCTACGGAACGTGCCATTGGAGAGGCACGGGATGCGCTCCCAGGGCCACGGTCCCTCGTAAATTACGCTGCGTCCGCGCTCTCAGGGCCACGATCCCTCATAAATTACATTGGAGTCGCGCTCCCAGGGCCCCGACTCCTTGTAAATTGCGCTGCGTCCGCGCTCCCAGGGCCACGATCCCTCGTAAATTATTCTGCGTCCGAGCCCCCAGAGCCCCGTCCCCTTGTAAATTACGCTGTGTCCGCGCTCCCCAGGCCACGATTCCTGGCAAATTACGCTGCGCCCGCGCTCCAAGGGCGATTTATAATAACTTACATTGCGTCCGAGCTCCCAAGGCCCCGACCCCTCGTAAATTACGCTGCGCCCGCGCTCCGAGGGCCACGATACCTTGCAAATTACGCGTGGTCCGCGCTCCAACCGCTACGATCCCTCGTAGATTACGCCGCGTCCGCGCTCCCAGGGCCTCCTGGGGCATGCTGGGGCGCCCAGGTCCCTCAAGTTTTGCAAAACAAGCCTTTCGCTAGAGACATCCTCGATTTTTTGGCGCGGGGGGCGCACCATCCTCGAGCGGGCACTCAAAAACTCAAGATTTTCATTACATCCGGGAAAAACGAGCGAATTAGTCGAAAGGTCCTCGAAATTCCTGCGCGCGGGACGCGGCACGCGCGAGACATCCTCGGAATTCCTGCGCGCGGGGCGCTTTTCCGTGCGCGGCTGGGGCCCCAGACCTTTTCTTTAGGATTCTGCTCAAAGTGCCCCGCACCTTTTTTTAACAAAGGAAAACGGAGGTCCGCGGACCCCGTTGAGGATCCGAGGTGGGGGGTCGACTTTTCCTCGAGCGGGCACGCGCGAAACGCACTTGTTCCACGCCGAATTGGGCTTCACCATGCTTTCATCGAGCGGAAATCTGCCGGCCCTCTCCCGGGTGGGAATATACAAGCCTATGGAAAGAGAACCGTGGGCCTGCACCCTTTCCGGGAAACGCGGGGGTAACGGGCCAAGGGCAGCGGCATCGGCACCTCTTCCTCCTCCTCCGACCGGCGGTGGCGGCCTGGAGCAGCCAGCAGCGGGCCGCCAGCTCGGGGCGGCTCGGTTGCCTGCAGCGCCACGGGCCGCGCCGGCACTGGGGTCGCGGCTCGGCCGCGCCAGGCTGCGCAAAGCGGCGCCGTGCAGGCGCCGGTCGGAGCAGGGCGAGCCGAGGCAGCTGGAGATCGACCCCTGGGCCCCCCAGGACGAAGCCAGGGCGAGGCCAGCCTCGCGCGAGGGTGCATCGAGGATCTCTGAGATCCAGCGGCTCTGGAGATTGTCTCGGGCGCCGCGGCCTCCTCAGAGCCCTCTGGTACGCTCTGAGAGCGTGCCGGGACGCTCTGGAACGGATGTGTCCTCGTCCTGGCCCCCAGCCCCGTCCGACGCGGCCCGCCCCTCCCAGGGTCCGAACGCACCAGTTTTCCGAGCTGCGTCCAGCCGCTTCGCCGACGGGGCCCCCCGAGGTCCAACTGCCACTGCCTCACCTGGCCCTCCTCTGGATCGGGCCGCCTCGGGTCGTACTGTGGCACTTTCGGAGACGAGGGCCCGGCTGGGTCGGGGTCGGGTCGGCCCGACGATCGGATCGAGTCGAGGTGGGCCCTGCGAGGGCTCGCCAGGAGTCCCACGAGGGGTATTTATCCATGCGCGGCCGAGAGCGTGGAAGCGGGAGCCAACGCGCAGGCGGACTCAGGCGGAAGCCCGACGAGAAAGAGAGAGAGCCTCGGGCACGTCCAGGGAGTGTCAGCACAAGGGAACTGAGGCATCAGCCGGCCTCCAAGGCGAGGCCGTCCTCGATCCAAAAACCACCCAACTTGGCGTCGAGGACAACCTCGCCGAAGGAGCGGGGCCTCAGATGCCCCTGACAGGCGGTCTTCAGGAGGGGGAGTGGGCCCAGATGCAGGGTTGAAGAGCAGGGGGAGAACCCCATGATTCCGACGTCGTACCGCGTGGACTACTGGAGGTGTGGACACCACCCGGGGGACCAGTCTCTCCTCCCGAGTCGTGTTGTGTTCGATGGTGCAGGAGACCGCTGGTGAGGGTCCCCCAGGGGCCGAAAACGGCACAACACAACGTATGTAGCATTTCTGTTCACGACGCGAGGAGGCCTTGGGGAACCACAAAATACAGCTACCGCTGCTCCCCAGACCTCTCAAGCCAGGAGTTCTTTCCCGACCAGCACCTCGAGGCGAATCCAGCCGTGGCGACGAGGGTCAGCGTAGCGATACCAGTACATTGTTCCTCCTCTGAGAGAGGAGAGGGGAGGGAGAGAGGACGAGGGAGGGCGGTCCAGGAAGGGGAGGGGTAGGCAAGCAAGCAAGAAGACATACACATACACCCAGAGGTGCGCAGGACACGGATGTGGAAACATCGTGGACTCGTATCTCGCCGCGGGATAGGCCGGACGCGAGCCTGGGTGGAAAACCGACGAGCTGGAGAGAGGAAGGAGGCGAGGGGGGAGGAGGCGGGGGGAAGAGGAGAGAGGGGAGGCGAGGAGGAGAGGGGGAGGCGGAGGGGGGGCGGGAGGAAGACGAGGGGAAAAGGGGAGAGGGGAAGAGCGGAAAAGGATGAGGAGGAAAAGGAGGAGGAAAAGGAGGAGGAGGAGGAGGGGAAGAGGAGGATGAGGAGGAGGAGGAGGAAAAGGAGGAGGAGGAGGAGGGGGAGGAGGAAGAGGAGGAGGAGGGGGAGGAGAGGAGGAAGGAGGAGGAGGGGGGGGAATGGAGGAGGAGGAGGAGGAGGAGGAGGAGGGGCGGAGGAGGGAGGAGGCGGAGGAGAGGAGGAGAAGGAGGAGGAGGAGGAGGAGGAGGAGAAGGAGGAGGAAGGAGGAGGGAGGCGAGGAGGAGGCTGAGGAGAGCGCGGCGTATGCAGGTCGAGGCTGCCGGCCTCCTCCCTCGGGGCCGACAGGCGGCGGCGGGCAGTCGCCTGGCGACGACCGCCTGTTCGTCCCAGGCCACGGAGGCGAGCCCAAAGTCCACCAGTTTCACCTGCCAGCAGCAGGAAGACAAAGCGCCCGGGCGGGAAGGCAGGAAGGGGGACGTGGGGGGGGACGGGATCGGCGCGGGGGGGTGCGGGTCAACAGCTCCAGCACCACAGGTGCACCCCTACGTTGCGCCCTGACGAACGCCTGTGCTCGTCGCCTTTACGGCTGACCTCACAAGCCTGGCGCGCCCCCATGCCGGGAGGGGGATACGGGATAGAGGAAGAACCAAACAGGCATGGACATCAACTTTCGGAGGTCCGCGCGGATTTCTTGGATCGGCGCTGGACCCCCCTGGCGGCGCCTCCGGCACAGCGCCTGGCGCGCTCCCTGCGCGCCAGGGGGGGGTCTCAACGCCGATCTAAGAAATCCGCGCGGACCCTGAAAGCTTATGCTCATGCCGTGGTGTTCCTATTCGAGGGAAGTAGGAGGGGAGGCAGGAGGAGGGGATGGGGAGGATGGAGGGGGGGAATCTTCTCACGCTCCTGCCCAGCTGTGGGAGCGGCCAGGCCAATTCCCGCTTGCTCGGCGGCCGCTTGCGGAGATGGGAGTGCGGGTCCAACTCTGGTTGAGGCGGGACTGGGGGGAGGAGAGTGCGTAGGATGAGGAGGAGGTTAATGAGGAGCAGGAGGAGGAGGAGGAGGAGGAGGAGGAGGAGGAGGAGGAGAGGGAGGAGCGGGAGGAAGAAAGGAGAGGAAGATAATTGTTTCAACATATGTCGTTTGTGCGTTACGGGTCTTTCGGGATTCGAAGGAGTCCTGGGGGGTCCAGATTGCTCAGCGGATATGATGATGATGAGGAGGAGCAGGAGCAGCATATTCCGAAGGAGAAGAAACGAGAAGAAGCAGGAACGAGCGAGAGGAGGAGAATGAAGACGAGGAGTGGATAGACATAATCATACATATCGTTGTATGTATATAAAAACAGAGAGAAACAAAGTGAGACAGAGAGAGAGAGAGAGAGAGAGAGAGAGAGCAAGACCGAAATGTACATGTGTGTACATCCGTATATGTATAAATGCAGAACGCGAGAGGGAGCGGGGATACTGATAGACCGATGGACATGCTAACCCAAATCGTTACGCACTCACAAGTGTACGCCCGACGGATATTTCCAGGTCACCATGCTCCACTGTGCCTATCCATATGCCGTGCGGTCATAGGCATGTTGAACGGCTGAGTATGTGCAGAACCCGCGTCACTGCGTCACGCTGTCTGGACGGTCACAATCGCATACATGCTTGACGCCTGATACCTGGAGCAGATATGTATGCACATGTCCAACCATGACCCAGATCAGAGCCAACATCAAACGGTGTGGACCAGCAGAAACTACTGAAAACAATTCTGGCACCTGCGAGGCATGGGCAGCCTCACACAAAAACCAGACCCCGCGCGCACGCACGCGCCACTCGCGACGCTGCGACCCCGCCGCCGGCGCTCGGCGTGGAACGCCGCCGGCGACCCAGAATTGGTCGATGTGGCAAGGTTTGGCGTTTAGGAAACGGTCGCTCGGTCGAGGCTGCACGAATGCCGCTGCCTCGGGCGCCAGCGCCGGGGTCGTCGCGGCACGAGCCTGCCGCACGTCCGCAGACTTCTGCTGGCCTCTGTGGGGCGTGGTGTTAAAAGCTCCGCCGGGCTTGGCCGCCCCGCGCGCCCCCCCGCGGCCTCGCCGCGCAAGTGCGCCCTCCTTTCCCTCTTCCTGCCTCTGCGGCCGCCGCATCGGCCTTGCTCGGCGGCAGGCGAGGGGGTGAAATGAGAAGGAGGAGGCCTTCTCAGAAGGCGGCGGGACTTCTCAGAGCCCTCGCGCGTTCTCAGAAGGCTTCTGTGTCTTCGGGGAAGGCTTTCAAAACTCCTCAGACGGCCCGGGGACTTCCAAGCCTTCTGAGAAGGCCTTCTCTTCATCACTTCCGACTTTCCCCTCCCCTTGCATGCGGGCCATTCGCATCACCCGCAGCCCGGGCTGCCAGGACGCGCGAGCGGACTGCCGTTGCCGCGCTGCGACGTAAAAAGGGCCTGGACGCGAAGGCCGCGGATTCCAGAAGGCTCCAATGATCGGCGAGGGGGAGGAAAAGGAGGAGGAGAAGGAGGAGGAGGAGGAGGAGGAGGGAGGAGGAGGAGGAGGAGGGAGGAGGAGGAGGAGGAGGAGGAGGGGGAGAGAAGGAGCAGTTGTGAGGAAAGTCCTGGTGGTCCGAGGAGGAACAGGTGCACCGAGACCGCTGCCCCTCCTGGCCTTGCGCAGGATCCTGCAGGATCCTGCAAGACCTGGCGCTCTGGCTGACCCCCGTTTGCATTGACCCCCGTCTCAAGGCTCCCGATTTGAGCTTTGTCCCCCCTCTCCGGTCCCAACCACCGGAGGGGGCAGCAGGCCCCCCCCCCTCCTGCTTCGAACAGGGGGGAGGTTGCTTTGCCCCCCTACCTCGGGGATGGACAGAGCCCCCTTCGGTAAAACGTGGCAAAGTGAAGTCGACCTCGGGCCTCAACCTGGCGGGCGCAACCCTGGAAAACGGCGGCCGCGGCGCCCTCTCGAGAACCGAAAACGGACAATTCACCAATCGACGAATCAGGGTGGGGGTTCTGTCCATCCCCGACCTTGGCAGAGTTAACCCCCAGCTGCATGTCGGACTCGATCTTGTCCTTTCTGGACTGCAAAGTGTGATAGTGATGGTGGAGCCTTGCCTGTCGGTTTCTGGACAAGGACTGGCGATGTCGGGCGCAGTGGCCATCTCCTCTTCCATCCTGGGCCCAGCCTCGTCACCACAGCTCTTCTTGATCGGTAGGAAAAGACCACTCCTGCGTTTAAGTCGGGCATGTCTCCCTACAGGGGGATTTTGTGCGAAAAATGCAAGATTGTCAAAAAATACTCCCCGAATAAGGAAAATAGTCAAAAATCGTTCCCGAACTATGTCTGACTATGTTTGAATATTCCCCCTGTAGAGGGACAGGCCAGACTTGGCTCCGCAACCACGGAGAGCAGAAGAGGATGCAGGGGTAAAAGACACCGTGCCCGCCTGCGGGCGGCACGCAGACTACCCTTGGAAAAATTGCTCCCACTTGAACCAAGATGGAGGAGGAGAGGAAGGATCAGTGCCAAGGTGCTTGAGGAGGAGGCGTAAGACGAGGACAAGAGGAGGAGGCGTAAGACGAGGAGAGGAATGATAATAGAGGATAGTAGAGGAGGATAAGAGAGGAGGAGGCGTAAGACGAGGTGCGGAAGGAGGATAATGGGGGAGGAGGCGTAAGACGAGGAGAATAATGATCAGTGTTAAGGTGCTTGACCGATTTTGCAATCCCTCTCTCCAAATGCCATGTCCATCAGTCCCTCCAAAAAGCTTGGTTTCATTGCCGGAAGCGGTTTGTTGTTTTGGTAAACAACCGTCTGAGAATCGTCAATCGCGCCGAAATAATTTCTGGAACTTCAACGCCGCGGATTAACGTGACTGTTGCGTCCTCGCAACGTCAATACCGCGGTCCTGACACTCCTAAGTTGTGCCGGAACACCACTCATGGGTTCAGCTCTACGAGTCCTCAAAGCTGTCGCAAACTTTAAGAACGAATGCGCGCGGCGCTAAGACGAGAGCCACATTTTGAACAGGAACCGCCCTCAATCATTGAGCCTGCTGCAAACTCAAATAGAGAAAGCGCGCGGAGACGAGAGCCACATGCTGAAAAGGAACCGCCCCCCATCATTGAACTGGTTATGGATTTGTAATATGAATGCGCGCGGCGCTAAAGCGTGAAACTATAGCAAATGATACCAGAGAAAGACCCAATCATAATCTGTTTTAAGGCTGTACGGCTATAAGGCTATATGGGCTCTTGGGCGCTATATGGGCTATATGGCTATATGGCTATATGGGTTATAGGGCTATAGGGTTACAGGGCTATAGGGCGATAGGGATATAGGGCTATAAGGCGCGCTAAAGCGTGAAGCTATCGCAAATGATTCGGACGGGTGCGCGCGGCGCTTAGGCGAGAGCAGCATTTTGAAAACGGCCCGCCCTCGACACTTGACGCTGCTGCGAGCTAACAGCTGCAAGATCAGAAACGGTGAGGAGGCCTCAAGCGAAACGCCTGGCCTGCACTACCAACATGTCTGAGGACCGACAGGGAGAACATATGTATAATGAAAGGGACAGAGGTGGAAGACGAGCAGGAGGAGGAGCAGCAGGAGGACCTGGAGGGCGAGGAGGGGAAGGAACTGAAACGCAGGAGGTGCCCCAGAGGAGACGGAACAGGAGGATGGAGCCATGTTTCTCTAGCAAGCCATGGAGGTGGGGGGGAGGGGGGAGAGGTTCCCCTCCTTGCCTTCCTCTTCGAGGAAGGGGTCGAGGTTCTCTTCCTCCTTCTCCTCCCCCTCCGCCACCTCCGTCCCCCCCCCTCACCATCGGAAAGCCAAAACTGGCACGGCTGCTGGGGGGAAGGACTGGTGGGGGAAGGGTGGACGGTTTCCCCCAGGGCCGTAGGCGACCCGAGGAGGGGAGGGCGAGGAGGAGGAGGACAGAAGGGTAAAAGGAGGAGGAAAGGAGAAAGTAGGAGGGGGAGAGGAGGAAGGAGGAGGAAAGGGAGGAAAGGAGGAGGGGGAGGATGGGATGGAGGTGGAGGGGAGGAGGGGGAACGGGTCGCCACGCCCTTCGGAGAAAGCCCTCCAGGGAAGGGTGGGGAGGAGGACGAGGACGGGGGGGAGCGAGAGGAGGAGAAGTGGAGCGAAACAGGGATGCGTATTGCAGAGAGGACGATGAAGTGGCTGCTTCGTGACGAAGAGTTGGTGGAGAAGTTGGAGTGTGACGTGAGAAGTAATACGAGAAGTATTGATGACGAGAAAATGTGTAAGGACGAGAAGTGGAGGAACGAGTGGAGGAGGAGCGAGAAATTGGGCAAAGAGGGAATGCGACGCGGGCTTTGCAGTCTCCAATGCAGCGATCGAAGGATGGCGCATGGTCGAACCGAACGGCACAGGGTCCGATGGATGGCGCTGCCATCGCGGAGGAATTCTCAGCAAGGCCACGTTGGGCACTATACTTCGATCTCGCACCCTCGCTTTCCTCCTCCTCATTCTCTTCCCCTCGCCTCCTCCTCCTCCTCCTCCTCCTCCATCGCTCAATCCTCCTCTCCCTTAACGCTCCACCAGTAACCATATCCTCCTACACGTCCACTCCAGACCCCTCTCCGCGCTAAGACCTCCTGCCTACCTCACTCCCCTCCTCCCCTTCCGCATCCCTTCCTCCTCGCTCCTCTCCCTACCTCCTCGCCCTTTCTGCCTCCCACCTGCTTTCAACTTGCTTCGTCCTCCTCTTGCCCACTCCCTCCTCACCCTCCTCCTCCTCCTCCTCCTCCTCCTCCTCGCTCCCTCCTCGCTCAAACCCTCCTCCTCCTCCTCCTCCTCACTGCATCCTCCTCCCCTCCTCCCCTGAAGGACTCAAAAAAACCTACCCCCAACTCCCCGCAATACACTCAGCACTAAAATCAAACTAAACCTAACAACCAAAGCGTCGGCTCAAAAAAAAGCGGGCGGGCGCGCAGCGCGGGGGGGAGGGAGAACAACAAACCCCCAAAATCCCTATGCGAAACTCAATCATCTACCTACTCACTCAAGCTCCTCCGTCTCCATCCTCCTCCCCGTCCCATCTCCAACCCCGCCATCTCACAAAAAGGAACCCCCGCGGCAGCACCTAAAGCTACAGAAAACTACACCTAACGAAAACCGCACTAGCAATACCAAAGCTGCAGAAGGATAAAACTCGTAAGCTCGGGGGCGTCCTCCTCCTCCTCCCAGGTCCTCGCTCCCCTCTGTCTCGGGGGCCTCCTCTTCTTCTCTTCCCCTGGGTCCTGTTTTCATTATTCTCCTCCTCCTCCTCCTGCTCCTCCTCCTCCTCCTCCTGCTTCTCCTCCTCGTCCTCTTCCTCGCCCTCGCCCGCGTCGTCGGCACCCTCCGCCTCCGCCCCCCCCCACGGGCCCGCGCCAGCGTGGGGGCCCCCGGGCGGGAAGACGGCCGGCTCTCCGCGCGCCGCCCTGCTGCCAGGGGGGGGGGGGGGAGGAGGCGCTCCCAGCAGGCGCCGCGAGGGCGGAGCGCGCAGGAGGAGGAAGGGGAAGGGGAGGGGGAGGGGGGGGGGGGAGGAGGAGGTAGGTAGGTAAGACGCAGGCTGGGACGCTGGGTCGTGCTCTGTGTGTCTCGACGCGCGTGGGCGTGCTATGACTTTGCATAGGCTCTGGGGCCACACATGGGCCCCCAGAGTGTGAGGCTACTCTGGCAACAAGATGGCAGAGAAATTCCAGGGAGCGCGCCGTCTGCGCTTGATCTCCCTGGCGGCCTCTCTGTTGCGACGAATTCTCTCCAACTGCTCTGCAGTGAGCTGGGGGGGGGGGGGGGCGGAGGAGGGGCAGCTAGGGCGTCTGAGCAGGCGGCTGCCGCTGGCCGGCTCCTCACGTCCGTGGCGGCCTCGGCCGCCTCGATGACCGCGGCAGCCTGGGACGGGCGGTCCTCGGGGGCCCCGGGCGGGAGAAGCTCCAGAGGCTCGGGGGGGGCAGCGGAGGCGCCAGAGGAAGGGGAGGAGGCGGAGGCTTCGCTGGTCTCCCTGGGTGGAGCCCAACGCCAAGCTTCAGGGTTCACTCTGTGTTTTGTACCCTTCTTGCCGGCGTAGCCTGGGGCCTCCCAGAAGCACTCCTCGTCGGACCACGGTACAAAGAATTGTCGGATGCTGGAGTCGTTGTGATCCTGCGTGGGCTGTGGTAGCATGTCTGATGGCTCGTCCATTCCATTGTGATATGCGTCCATGATGCTGTCGTGCATGGCCTGTGCTATGGCCTTGCACATTGATGGTGGGTACGTCTTTTTGCTGCTCGTTTTGAATGTCCCGTCCTCGTGTTTGCCCTGCAGTACTGCATGGGCATTGGGGCCGTGGTTGCACCTGCCGTTGTTGTTGGCCTTCAGGAGGCCATACATGGTCGGTAGTCGGAGCGCCAGGATCCTGGTCGCGGCTTTTCCGTGTAGTCGTGGGTCCTCTGTTCTGTGGGTGCACTGGTCGAACTGGATGGTGCTGACCAGTGGGCAGCTTTCCAGCGCTCGGAGGGGCATCCAGTGAAAGCCTGAGGGCGCCTCGGGTCTCCAA